ACCCGGAAGGAGGATCGGCCGGCGAAGCCGGCCGATCCGACTGGCCCTCCCTCTCATGGAAAACTTCTCGCCGGGACCCACTTCACACCCGGAAGGAGGATCGGCGGCGAAGCCGGCCGATCCGACTGGCCCTCCCTCTCATGGAAAACTTCTCGCCGGGACCCACTTCACACCCGGAAGGAGGATCGGCCGGCGAAGCCGGCCGATCCGACTGGCCCTCCCTCTCATGGAAAACTTCTCGCCGGGACCCACTTCACACCCGGAAGGAGGATCGGCCGGCGAAGCCGGCCGATCCGACTGGCCCTCCCTCTGGAAATTGGGGCTACGCCGGGACCCACTTCACACCCGGAAGGAGGATCGGCCGGCGAAGCCGGCCGATCCGACTGGCCCTCCCTCTCATGGAAAACTTCTCGCCGGGACCCACTTCACACCCGGAAGGAGGATCGGCCGGCGAAGCCGGCCGATCCGACTGGCCCTCCCTCTCATGGAAAACTTCTCGCCGGGACCCACTTCACACCCGGAAGGAGGATCGGCCGGCGAAGCCGGCCGATCCGACTGGCCCTCCCTCTCATGGAAAACTTCTCGCCGGGACCCACTTCACACCCGGAAGGAGGATCGGCCGCGGCCGATCCGACTGGCCTCCCTCTCATGGAAAACTTCTCGCCGGGACACTTCACTCACCGGAGGAGGATCGGCGGCGCAGCGGCCGATCCACTGGCCTCCCTCTTCCATGGAAAACTACGCGCGCGAGCCCATCTTCACACCCGAAGGAGGATCGGCGGCGAAGCGGCCGATCGACTGGCCTCCTCTCATGGAAACTTCGCGCCCACTTCACACCCGGAAGGAGGATCGGCCGGCGAAGCCGGCCGATCCGACTGGCCCTCCCTCTCATGGAAAACTTCTCGCCGGGACCCACTTCACACCCGGAAGGAGGATCGGCCGGCGAAGCCGGCCGATCCGACTGGCCCTCCCTCTCATGGAAAACTTCTCGCCGGGACCCACTTCACACCCGGAAGGAGGATCGGCCGGCGAAGCCGGCCGATCCGACTGGCCCTCCCTCTCATGGAAAACTTCTCGCCGGGACCCACTTCACACCCGGAAGGAGGATCGGCCGCGAAGCCGGCCGATCCGACTGGCCCTCCCTCTCATGGAAAACTTCTCGCCGGGACCCACTTCACACCCGGAAGGAGGATCGGCCGGCGAAGCCGGCCGATCCGACTGGCCCTCCCTCTCATGGAAAACTTCTCGCCGGGACCCACTTCACACCCGGAAGGAGGATCGGCCGGCGAAGCCGGCCGATCCGACTGGCCCTCCCTCTCATGGAAAACTTCTCGCCGGGACCCACTTCACACCCGGAAGGAGGATCGGCCGGCGAAGCCGGCCGATCCGACTGGCCCTCCCTCTCGGAAAACTTCTCGCCGGACTCACACCGGAAGGAGGATCGGCCGGCGAAGCCGGCCGATCCGACTGGCCCTCCCTCTCATGGAAAACTTCTCGCCGGGACCCACTTCACACCCGGAAGGAGGATCGGCCGGCGAAGCCGGCCGATCCGACTGGCCCTCCCTCTCATGGAAAACTTCTCGCCGGGACCCACTTCAACCCGGAGGAGGATCGGCGCCGAGTCCGGCCGCATCGAATGGCCTCCTCTCATGGAAAACTTCTCGCCGGGACCCACTTCACACCCGGAAGGAGGATCGGCCGGCGAAGCCGGCCGATCCGACTGGCCCTCCCTCTCATGGAAAACTTCTCGCCGGGACCCACTTCACACCGGAAGGAGGATCGGCCGGCGAAGCCGGCCGATCGACTGGCCTTCTCTCATGAAAACTGTCGGCCGCGCCGGACCACTTCACAGCCGGAAGGAGGATCGGCGGCGAAGCCCGGCCGATTCCTGACTGGCCCTCCTCTATGGAACTTCTGGCGGGACACTTCACACCCGGAAGGAGGATCGGCCGGCGAAGCCGGCCGATCCGACTGGCCCTCCCTCTCATGGAAAACTTCTCGCCGGGACCCACTTCACACCCGGAAGGAGGATCGGCCGGCGAAGCCGATCCGACTGGCCCTCCCTCTCATGGAAAACTTCTCGCCGGGACCCACTTCACACCCGGAAGGAGGATCGGCCGGCGAAGCCGGCCGATCCGACTGGCCCTCCCTCTCATGGAAAACTTCTCGCCGGGACCCACTTTACACCCGGAAGGAGGATCGGCCGGCGAAGCCGGCCGATCGACTGGCCCTCCCTCTCATGGAAACCTTCTCGCCGGGACCCACTTCACACCGGAAGGAGGATCGGCCGGCGAAGCCGGCCGATCCGACTGGCCCTCCCTCTCATGGAAAACTTCTCGCCGGGACCCACTTCACACCCGGAAGGAGGATCGGCCGGCGAAGCCGGCCGATCCGACTGGCCCTCCCTCTCATGGAAAACTTCTCGCCGGGACCCACTTCACACCCGGAAGGAGGATCGGCCGGCGAAGCCGGCCGATCCGACTGGCCCTCCCTCTCATGGAAAACTTCTCGCCGGGACCCACTTCACACCCGGAAGGAGGATCGGCCGGCGAAGCCGGCCGATCCGACTGGCCCTCCCTCTCATGGAAAACTTCTCGCCGGGACCCACTTCACACCCGGAAGGAGGATCGGCCGGCGACGCGCCAGATCCGACAAATGGCCCTCGCCTCTTCATGGAAAAACTTCTCGCCGTGACCCACTTGCCCGGAAGGGGCATCGGGCCGGACGAAAGCGCGCCGATCCGACTGGCCCTCCCTCTCATGGAAAACTTCTCGCCGGGACCCACTTCACACCGGAAGGAGGATCGGCCGGCGAAGCCGGCCGATCCGACTGGCCCTCCCTCTCATGGAAAACTTCTCGCCGGGACCCACTTCACACCCGGAAGGAGGATCGGCCGGCGAAGCCGGCCGATCCGACTGGCCCTCCCTCTCATGGAAACTTTCGCGCGGTACCCACTTCACCCCGGAAGGAGGATCGGCCAGGCGAAAGGCGGCGCATCCGATGGCCTCCCTACTATGGCGAAGACTTTCGCCGGGACCCATTACGGAAGGAGGATCGAGCGGCGAGCGGCCGATCCGACTGGCCCTCCCTCTCATGGAAAACTTCTCGCCGGGACCCACTTCACACCCGGAAGGAGGATCGGCCGGCGAAGCCGGCCGATCCGACTGGCCCTCCCTCTCATGGAAAACTTCTCGCCGGGACCCACTTCACACCCGGAAGGAGGATCGGCCGGCGAAGCCGGCCGATCCGACTGCCTCCCTCTCATGAAACTTTCTGGCCGGCCACTTCACACCCGGAAGAGATCGGCCAGGCGAAGCCGGCCGTACGACTGGCCCTCCCTTCTATGGAATAACTTACTCGCCGGGACCATCACACCCGGAAGGCAGGGACTCGGCCGGCGAAGCCAGGCCGATCCTAGGGCTCCCTCTCATGGAAAACTTCTCGCCGGGACCCACTTCACACCCGGAAGGAGGATCGGCCGGCGAAGCCGGCCGATCCGACTGGCCCTCCCTCTCATGGAAAACTTCTCGCCGGGACCCACTTCACACCCGGAAGGAGGATCGGCCGGCGAAGCCGGCCGATCCGACTGGCCCTCCCTCTCATGGAAAACTTCTCGCCGGGACCCACTTCACACCCGGAAGGAGGATCGGCCGGCGAAGCCGGCCGATCCGACTGGCCCTCCCTCTCATGGAAAACTTCTCGCCGGGACCCACTTCACACCGGAAGGAGGATCGGCCGGCGAAGCCGGCCGATCCGACTGGCCCTCCCTCTCATGGAAAACTTCTCGCCGGGACCCACTTCACACCCGGAAGGAGGATCGGCCGGCGAAGCCGATCCGACTGGCCCTCCCTCTCATGGAAAACTTCTCGCCGGGACCCACTTCACACCCGGAAGGAGGATCGGCCGGCGAAGCCGGCCGATCCGACTGGCCCTCCCTCTCATGGAAAACTTCTCGCCGGGACCCACTTCACACCCGGAAGGAGGATCGGCCGGCGAAGCCGGCCGATCCGACTGGCCCTCCCTCTCATGGAAAACTTCTCGCCGGGACCCACTTCACACCCGGAAGGAGGATCGGCCGGCGAAGCCGGCCGATCCGACTGGCCCTCCCTCTCATGGAAAACTTCTCGCCGGGACCCACTTCACACCCGGAAGGAGGGGCATCGGGCGCGAAGCGGCCGATCCGATCTGGGTCAAACATAATGGACGCAACATCAAGTAAACAAACCCAATATGGAACCAGTACTCCCCGAAAAGGTCATTTATTACTTAGAGCTCAGTACAGTTTACTTTATTGGTTTCAGACCCAATCAGCATCAATTCGAGGGTTAATCATCATTACTGGCAGGTTCAGAAGACTTATACGCTTTACCATGCCAGAGCAGAGGTTCCAAATAACACACGTTATGGCCCACCGTTTTCTTGATATTACAGCCTGACAGTCAAGTGGTCAACGTCGAAGGGACATGAACTACATGCACTTGTTTTTGAAGGATTCTGGAAGATCCAATTAACGAGACAGTGCCCGAAAATTAGGTCTACATGATTCACTCAGGTCCTGTCAGTGTAGAAAATTGCGAAGGAGAGACCTGAAACAAAATGCGTTTTTTTTCGGGCGAGAGTCTGACGTAGCTTCACACGATTGTATGACGTACCGCTAACCAACATGCGTTGTCATACCTTTTCTCTAAGAACTGTTCTACAGGTCTATTTTTTTTCTTTATTTCATGCATGCTTATTTTATTGTTTAAAGTTTATCACCAGTCACGCGGTAACACGTTTTTTGACCCGTAATGCCCACGAAGAAAAGAAACTCTTATTACAGGTTCATCGTTGGGGAGTGATGAACTGATGCTGAATCATCGCTGCCATGGCAGTGCATGTGTAAAATTTACTTTGCAGTGACTTCAATTCTATGAGAAACCAGGAGGTTAAACAAAACCGTAGAGATGACATGAGGCAAATTTACAACTCATCCGATATGAAGTTCCATCTTAAAAAACCTACATGGGATAGAGAAAACATCGTATCGACCACGAGCTGGCAAGAGCAAGCGGGTAAAAACGCCAGAGATTAAGATGCTCCCATTGGATGACGAGAAGCTGATCCTAAATATACTTAGCTGTGTGGCACGTAAAAATGCCATCCAATCACATTGAAATTTCATAAGCCTAGCAAATAATAATCTTACTTTAGACGTCAAGTCGAACACTTCGGACTCCTCCGATGACATGCCACAGTTCTCCTACCGTATACCATACAAGTGAAGTGAAATATTATGTAGAGGGTGAAAAGCCAAATTCGGCTGCTGTAGCATTGGCAGCAATGTGGTAGTTGGCTTGCGGGAGGCTGCTACACAGATGAATGGAACAAGTTACCAGATTCTGAAACATTTCAATGCACACATCATTAGAAAAGACGTGCGAACACAGCGGAGGAGACGCGCACGCGATTGCGAAACCATTAGGTTGTCTTCAACGGCGCCTTGTCAACTACCACTGAGGACTCCTTGACCCGGGGCTAATCCGCTAATGCTCATTTCCCTTAACGTCTCAGGGAAAAAGATGTTACGAAAATCTGAGAAGGAAGTGTATACACTTGCCTCTTTCTCCAATAGAGGCCGCTCTTTTTTAACAGGATTTTAGGGTGCTAGAACAATATGGAAGTTCCTTTAGAAAGCTCCTCAGCTCCCTGGACAGCACTATTTCCTCCTCTCACAGGGTTGCAAGAGCGGTGCGACATCGCCGTGCTGAGTACACATGACGGATAAACCTTCTCATGCTTCGATCGCACGCTTTTGAACGCTTGATTGCGCCACCACATCAGGAGATAATAACTTGGCACACTTCCATTATCCTGCGACGAATAAGCGATGAATTGTAGCAGTGGGCATAGGCATGGCGATTCCCATTGGGTATTTTGGTTTTGAGCAAAAACTGGTGTTGGACAAAGAGATGATTTCTCTGGTTCCAAAGAATTCAAATATCTCATTGAAAACACTGTTCCACCGCCACGTCCGATTCAAGTCACGCAGTACGCCACGCATCTCATAGGAATTTCGAGAGTAAACAAATTCTCGCAACCAGTGGACCCCTTACACGCTAACGCGTCTATGTTCCATTACTAGCACCACGATATCCCCAGCGATGGTCAAACCAAAAGACACGAAGTCAGTCAGCTCTACATAAATAGCCTCTAAGGGAACCGATCTGGACAAGTATTATCCGTCGTAATTCTACAATTCATACAAGAACAAAAAACCAGCTATTAGAATTCATTTATTGTTTTAGATCATAAATCGAACACACTTCAGTAAGCTAAGCTCCGAGTTACTCTGAGATCGTACAATCGGTGAGATTCGGCAATACGTAAACTAATAAACGAGGATATCGTTTTCGACAAACTCTTATTACTCTAGTTCAGCTTAGTAGTTAGTCGCATTAATTCATGGTAAGGTTAAATGACTTAGGAAATTGAAATAATATTATTATTGATCTACGACATTTCTCCTAAGCTACATTTCCTCGGTCTTTGTATTCGGGAAGAATACGAAAACTGTGCACGGACTTCGTAGCCACTATGGACTTCACACGAAGTATATAGAGTTGCTTGATTAACCATGAAAACGGTCAATTATTACTTCAAGAAAAAGCCTTCGCGCTGTCGGTCCTTTTTGCGCGATGTGACCACGCATCGCTACTTCATTCGGAATTGTTAGTGCAGCTTATTGATGCGAGGGGGGGGAGAGGACTCGCAGAGCTTTATTCGCGCCCTTGCAGGGAGCCGATCTGAGTTTTGACCCCTAGATCGCGCTTGTGGTGGATGTTTCACCTGCTACTATACCGTCTCGAATCAATCGACTCCAAAACATGAGAGAAAATGGAAAAAATCGTCTTGAAACCAGCAATTCGAAATTGAGCAACAATATTGGCTGCAAAACGTGATCGAAATATTTCAGAAGCATTTGTAAAGCTAACTCTCCTCAACCGTGAGATTTAGCAGAATACCCAAGTTCGCACTGGTCTTGTCAGATCCCTTGTCTTCCCAGATGAAGAAAACGGAAAAAAAAAAAAAAACCAATGACCTGACTGCAACATAGTGCTTCGTACTAACCTAGGAGCCAAACCTTTAGTGAACATGTATTGTCTTTCGTTCCTGAGGATTCTTGCCAAGGTCTCTGCATAATCGCTGCGATGTACCTGAGAATTATTAAAAACCAATCAAGAACAAAACTTAAGGGCGATAATAATAACACGGCTTCTGCAGTAAACATTGAGTGCTGTAAGTGAAAGATGAAGGAAATCTGAAAAACGTACTTGAAGCCTGATGCGAAACATTTCCATCGGGTTCGTACATATTGTCGAACAGGCCCCTCCGATTGTAGCTGCAGCAGCTTGATCCAAAATCAGAGGACCTTGGCCTTCCTTAGCTGATTGACGTCGCAGCTTAAATTCGCCTTTCAACGGAACAAAACAACGGAATTGTTTGTTTCCAGATGTAGTATAAAAACGAAATGCTCCACAAGAACCTCATGCTAAAATGGGCTTGGACTAGCATAAGACGAATAAAGGGTGTGGTCGAACGAGTTCTCACTTTTGGTACATTTATCAACTCACTCTCCTCATTCGAAATGAAGAGAGATAGTAGCGGAACAACCACACCATGAGGTAACGGTTAAAAATGAAAGTTGGGCGTGGCCGTGGACAGTGACGTGGAGCGAGACGGCGCAAGATGAATCGATAACTGCCGCTTCTGTGCGCGCGGCAATGGAGCGCGATGTTATCCCTATTTGCCCCTTTCGCAATGATTACGGCTGGAGCATAGGATTTCATGTAAACAGGACATTGTCGGACACTTGATGTCTTACTTTGCTCGATAATAGCTCTGATGCTCGACATTACCGCCCAAAATCGATCGTAAATTAGCAGGCCATTGGCGCAGAGGGAATTACCGATTCTCTTGCCACATAACGGGAGCGCAACGTAGCTTTCGTTCAATAGAGGGCACGTTCGCTCACTAGTTTTTGAGCGTGGATTAGGAGCGTGCTTTCAAAGGCCGTACAGGACTTATAGAAAGGAAAGGTGCAGAACAAGCAAAAAAAGGAAGAAATTCAGTAATGAGTAATCGTCTTACAAAATTGAAGAAGTCCTGACACCAGTAATATACAGGCCAGAAAACGAGACATGATGGCACATAGACGAGACTTGACGCCCAAAATCCACTAAAAGCACACGATCAACGATCACTAGACGTAAGAACCTTGAAAGAACCGTACCGATAGAATCCTTTCAGCCCATCAACTTTATATATTGCTCTTAGACAACGTAATCCCAGTGTTAGACGAGGGTTCTTTTCATTACGTAAGTACTCGATAACAGCCTTGTCGTTTCCTGAGATGAACTTATCGGCGTTGTAGTATACCATCATGAACTGGGATATGATATCGGTGGGCACAAAAATCACCTATAAAGGAGAACTCTCTACAATGAACCTTCGAAGTTCCACGAGACTTTAAAAAAAATTTCCTAACGCGCTAATTCTGTATGGGTCCGCAGCCGAGAACGTTAGATTTGTTAGACTCTTGGGGGGGGGGGATGTTAATGGTTGGTAAGAGACTTTTAGCTCTCCGCACCAAGAAATCCACATACCCATAGAGTGAATCTATCTAGCCTTGGGCGAAAACCCCATTCGCAGAACTAACTGCAGTTTGACATAAAGAAAATCGAAGGAATGACGTGAAAAGATTCTTTCATAGGACGCGTCGTGTTATGTCCCATCGATGACACGTCATCTCTGAGCGCGTCAACGACGACTTGAGCCTCACAAGAAGTAGCGGCAACCAGTAAGATCGGAGCTACCTCCTTCAAACTGCTTCTAGCTACTCCTTGGTAGATTTAACTAAAAATGAGAACCGACTAATTCGATGAACTAACCTGAGATGCAAAACTTGCTGCTCCACCGGATATGCTCGAAATGCCGGCCACAGACTTCATACCGAAATCCTGTTGTAGAACAGCTCGTAACTTCTCGTAGACGGTGGTGTAAATGAATGACGTGCCTATCTGTGGTACGGTCACCCAGAAACCCTGAAAACTGTTCACTCTAGTAGAGCCTTCAAACAGCTCTTTGTCAGAACTGCTTTTCCTACATCAATGAAGAACAGGACAGATTTCTTTTAAAATCACGTTCTCATTGGATATCCTGACTTCCATCTACCCCACAAGACTAGTAATTCTCAGTAAGAATTACTTTTCTTTACGGAGTAAATGGAAGTCAGAATATCCAAAGCAGAACTGGATGGGAGAGCTAGATGCAGCCTCGTTCGCTGCGGACGACGGGGCTTGCCAGTGGGGCATCGTTTGACACAGCGCCAAA